TCCTTTTTAAATGGTTAAATTACATTTTATTAATCAAAAGCACGTCTAATTAAATAATGAAATGTATACAATTCAACATCAAATCTATTAAAAAGTTTAACAAAAATTACAGGGTCTTATGAAATATTCTATTTTTTTTCACCTTGTTTATTGTTACCAAATTCTGTTTTAATTTGTCTAATTATTTGAATGCATAAAAACTACTTTTATTTATACCTTATGAAATTGTTTTTTTTCTTTAGAAATTCTGCCTTATGTATTTAAATTTTTCTGGTTATCGAATGAAGGCATAACACATTTAATTAATGAAAATTAAACACTTTTTTTTTTGGCAAACAAAGAGGATTTACAATTCAAATTAAAACATGGAAGAAATATTGTGATTATTCCTTAATCATTTTAGTAGTAGTTGTTGTATGTACATTCTACTGAACAATAATAATCCATTTCTGGCAGAAACTATATATGTTTGACTCTCAGAGCAGTTCTGGGGATGTTGTTCATGTATTTATGTCTTATTTAGTGAGAAGGCAGATGCTGAAATCACAGCGAGCATCATGCGCGCTTCAGTATGTGTGTAGTGAACAAAACCGCGTGACATTCATTCAGAGTCTTAGACCATAGACTATGATTCAGACAGACACAGAACATGCAGGATTTATATTTAAATAGCCTTTTTGTGGCTTAATATTTACAGATACTAGTCCATATCACGATTTAAGTGTAATGACCTTCCTTTGATTAATTCATCCAAACTTTGAAAAAATTCCGTGACATTCCCCGTTATACAGTAAATTCCGTTGACTGGATTCGCATCGCAGAAATCACAGGGCCATAGGCGTACCTTTGTGGGAAGGTCCAAACTCCACATCCGAGTCGCTGTCATCAGAATCCTGCATGTTGCCAGATGTTGAGGGTCCTGAGGTGTGCACCAACCCGCGTCTGTAATGAGTCGATTTCATGGCTTTGTTTTGATGAGGTTGACTTTGGAAAAAAACTATGTTATGAAATTATCGTACATTATGGGATTTTTTCATTATTGATCGGACAGAGGTCAAAATTATCGTACAGATACAATAATTATCATACGTCTGGCAACACTGCCACAAACATTGTACACCAATTTTGTCGATTTCAAATGTTCTTAGGTCAAGTACGCAGTGATTGGTGGATTTAAACGTGGCCCAATCAGAGCTTCTCGTCTCCTGTAACACGTTCGGCAACAGTTCAGAACTGATGCCAAATGCCAGACTTTTTCTTCCTTTTGTATTTTTGTAATCGAGGCGCTGGAATTCAGCTGACCATTCAAGGCAGACGACATTCTAGCAATGTTCTAGCTTTGTTAACACGTCACATTACAGGAAAGTTTTTTTCAAGAACATTTTGTAATCTTAGACCTCAAAATGATATCCTCATAACATTTTCCTAATGTGGCTGAGAGAATGTTCTTCCTTTGTTATCTTGAAACATTGTGCCAATGTTTTATTGACAATATTGTATAAACTGTTACTTCAAAGACATCCGCAAAATATCCCCAAAATGTTGCAGATAAAGTGTTCTAGCTTTGTTAATACATCACATTATAAAAACGTTTTATAAAAAGACAATCCATCACCTCCGGCCTCAATGACAGCCTTACAGTGCATCCGGAAAGTATTCACAGTGCTTCACTTTTTCCACATTTTATGGGAAAATGTGGAAAATTGATTAAATTCATTGTTTTCCTCAATCAAATACAAACAATACCCCATAATGACAACGTGAAAGAAGTTTATTTGAAATCTTTGGAAATGTATTAACTATAAAAAACGGGGGAAAAATCACATGTACATAAGTACTCACAACCTTTGCCATGACACTCAAAATAAAGTATTCACAGTGCTTCACTTTTTCCACATTTTATAGTACAGCCTTATTCCAAAATGGATTAAATTCATTATTTTCCTCAAATTTCTACAAACATACCCCATAATGACAATGTGAAAGAAGTTTGTTTGAAATCCTAGCAAATTTATTAAAAAATAAACAACGAAGAAAAAAAAATCACATGTACATAAGTAACACATTGTACAAATGTACAAAATTGAGCTCAGGTGCATCCTGTTTCCACTGATCATCCTTGAGAAGTTTCTACAACTTGATTGGAGTCCACCTGTGTTAAATTCAGTTGATTGGACATGATTTGGAAAGGCACACACCTGTCTATATAAGGTCCCACAGGTAACAGTGCATGTCAGAGCACAAGTATGTAGTTTCTGTTACCCTTGATGGAAGAATTTTGAAACAACCAAGACTCTTCCTAGAGCTGGCCAAACTGAGCAATTGATGGAGAAGGACTTTGGTTAGAGCTGAGCTCCATGATCATATGTGGAGATAGGAGAAACCTACAGAAGGACTAACATCACTGCAACGCTCCACCGATCTGTGCTTCATGGTGGTGTGGCCAAACTCAATCCTCTTCTCAGAGACGCATGAAAACACACTTGGAATTTTAAAAAAAAAAGCACCTAAAGGATCCTCAGACTCTGAGAAACAATATTCTCAGGTTTGATGAACCTCAGTTATAAGCATAATGTTCGAAGGAAACCAGGCACTTCTCATCACCTGAAGAGTACCATCCCAAAAGTAAGGTGTGCTGGTAGTAGCCTCATGCTGTGGGACTGTTTTTCAGCGGCAGGGACTGACGGACTCATCAGAGTAGAAGAAAAGCTCAATGCACCAAAATATAGATCTTAACGAAAACCCAGTCCAGAGCATTCAGAACCTCAGACTGGGCAGAAGGTTCACCTTCCAACAGGACAATGACCCTTAACTGCATGTCAGACCACAAACCAAGCCATGAAGTCCAAGGAATTGTCTGTAGACCTCTGAGACAGGATTGCTAGAGGGGGCCAAACTGAAAGATCGGGGGAGAAGGTCAGGGAGTCAGGGAGGTGGCCAAGTACCAGATGGTCACTCTGACAGGGCTCCAGCATTTCTCTATGGAGAGATGAGAACCTTCCAGAAGAACAACCATCTCTGCAGCACTCCACTAATCAGGCCTGTATGGTTGAGTGGCCAGACGGAAGCCACTCCTCAGCAGGCTGATCATCCTTGAGAAGTTTCTACAACTTGACTGGATTCCACCTGTGGTAAATTCAGTTGATTGGACGTGATTTGGAAAGGCACACACCTGTCTATATAAGGTCTCACAGTTAACTGCATGTCAGACCACAAACCAAGCCATGAAGTCCAAGGAATTGTCTGTAGACCTCTGAGACCGGATTGCTAGAGGGGGCCAAACTGAAAGATCGGGGGAGAAGGTCAGGGAGTCAGGGAGGTGGCCAAGAACCAGATGGTCACTCTGACAGGGCTCCAGCATTTCTCTATGGAGAGATGAGAACCTTCCAGAAGAACAACCATCTCTGCAGCACTCCACTAATCAGGCCTGTATGGTTGAGTGGCCAGACGGAAGCCACTCCTCAGCAGAAGGCACCTGAAGGACTCCCAGACCATGAGAAACAAAATTCTCTGGTCTGATGAAACAAAGATTTAACTCTTTGGCAAGTGTCATGTCTGGAGGAAACCAGGCACCGCTCAACACCTGCCCAATACCATCCCTACATTGAAGCATGGTGGTGGTGGCATCATGCTGTGGGGATGGTTTTCAGCGGCAGGAACTGGTAGACTAGTCGGGATCGAGGAAAAGATGCAGCAGTGTACGGAGACATCCTTGATGAAAACCTGGACCTCAGACGGGGATGACGGTTCATCTTCCAACAGGACAATGATGCTAAGCACACAGATAACAAAGGAGTGGCTACAGGGCAGCTCTGTGAATGTCCTTGAGTGGCCCAGACTTGAACCCAACTGAACATCTCTGGAGAGATCTGAAAATGGCTGTGCACCAACACTCCCCATCCAACCTGATGGAGCTTGAGAGGTCCTGCAAAGAAGAATGGGAGAAACTGCCCAAAAATAGGTGTGCCGAGCTTTGTAATCGGTGCTTCAACAAAGTATTGCGCAAAGGCTGTGAATACTTATGCACATGTGTGTGGTTATGTACCTGTACGGAATGTTAGTCAAAGTAATGAGAACATTCCCTGCTAGCTGCGTAAGCGCATGGTCTAAAATGTAATTGGGTAGTTTAGGGAGTGTCTGAATCTACCTTAGCTAATTTAAGAACGGGAAGAATGGTCGGCGCGCCCAGCGCATGGTCTAAAAGGGTTGTCCCTATCCTCTTAATGAGTGTGTTTTGGGCGTAACGTGCATGGGTCACCCGGGTTACTTTTTTGAGGTCTGGTACAAATATGACATGGGCTACAAAAAAAAAAACATGTAATAAGAATCGCTTTTTATTTCTTCTCTTTCCTACTTGTTTCGTTTCTGTTTCAGTTTTTATAACCTCTATGGAGAGATGAGAACCTTCCAGAAGAACAACCATCTCTGCAGCACTCCACTAATCAGGCCTGTATGGTTGAGTGGCCAGACGGAAGCCACTCCTCAGCAGAAGGCACCTGAAGGACTCCCAGACCATGAGAAACAAAATTCTCTGGTCTGATGAAACAAAGATTTAACTCTTTGGCAAGTGTCATGTCTGGAGGAAACCAGGCACCGCTCAACACCTGCCCAATACCATCCCTACATTGAAGAATGGTGGTGGTGGCAGCATCATGCTGTGGGGATGGTTTTCAGCGGCAGGAACTGGTAGACTAGTCGGGATCGAGGAAAAGATGAATGCAGCAGTGTACGGAGACATCCTTGATGAAAACCTGGACCTCAGACGGGGACGACGGTTCATCTTCCAACAGGACAATGATGCTAAGCACACAGATAACAAAGGAGTGGCTACAGGGCAGCTCTGTGAATGTCCTTGAGTGGCCCAGACTTGAACCCAACTGAACATCTCTGGAGAGATCTGAAAATGGCTGTGCACCAACACTCCCCATCCAACCTGATGGAGCTTGAGAGGTCCTGCAAAGAAGAATGGGAGAAACTGCCCAAAAATAGGTGTGCCGAGCTTTGTAATCGGTGCTTCAACAAAGTATTGCGCAAAGGCTGTGAATACTTATGCACATGTGTGTGGTTCCCCCCCCCCCATTTTACTTTGGAAAGATTTCAAACTTTTCACGTTGTCATTATGGTGTACTGTTTGTAGAATGGAGAAATTTAATCCATTTTGGAATTAAGGCTGTGAAAACTTCCCGTATGCACTGTATAAAGTTCTCCTACAGTGGTTAAGAGAATGTTTTTCCTTTGTCATCTTGAAACATTGTGCCAATGTTTTAAGAATATTATATTCTGTCACCTCAACAACCTCCTTAAAATGTTGCAGGTCAAATGTTCTAGCTTTGTTACATTACAAGAACGTTTTATAAAAACATTACACAGTCTCAGTGATGTTCCTATAACGTTCTCCTAATGTAGTGGAGAGAATGTTCTTTCTTATCTTGAAACACTGTGCCAGTGTCTTATTGAGAACATATTCCATCACCTCTGGTCTCAATGATATTCTTATAATGTTCTCCTAATGTGGCTGAGAGAATGTTCTTCCTGTTTATCATGAAACATCATGCCAATGTTTTATTGAGAACATTATATAATCTGTTACATCAACAACATCCTCAAAATGTTGCAGGGCAAATGTTCTAGCTTTGTTTACACTTAATGTTTTAGGAACATTATCTGAAATGAAAAACATTCTTAAAACATTTTTTGAACACTACATTCAAATGTTTTCTCTAAAACATCAACCCAACCTATACGGAATGTTAGTCAAAGTAATGAGAACATTCCCTGCTAGCTGCGTAAGCGCATGGTCTAAAATGTAATTGGGTAGTTTAGGGAGTGTCTGAATCTACCTTAGCTAATTTAAGAACGGGAAGAATGGTCGGCGCGCCCAGCGCATGGTCTAAAAGGGTTGTCCCTATCCTCTTAATGAGTGTGTTTTGGGCGTAACGTGCATGGGTCACCCGGGTTACTTTTTTGAGGTCTGGTACAAATATGACATGGGCTACAAAAAAAAAAACATGTAATAAGAATCGCTTTTTATTTCTTCTCTTTCCTACTTGTTTCGTTTCTGTTTCAGTTTTTATAACCATTTCTTTCTATGTGTAAGTAAGTAGTTTTTTAGCATGTGTGTTTGGCAGTGTCATTTTTTAGGATTACTGATAAACTACTGTCGTTTGATTTGTATTAGTATTTATTTATTTTAATTTTAGTTACATTATGTCTGTATAGGTCTTTTATTAAGTTTTTAGTTTTAATTTGAACTATTTTAATACTTCAACAATCTAAATGGAAATGAAATAATATATATATTGAATTTATAAATGTGTATGTACATATACAGTATATATGTATGTGTGTGTGGTTGTACATACACACATATGTAGTTGTTTATTTTTGGTGTTTGGCTTAGTGTTATGTTAGAATCATTATTATACTCTTATACCTTTTGTTCTTTAATATTTTGAATTGTTTTTAGCTTTATTTTTTGTTTTTCATTTAAATGTTAAGTTTTGTTGTATGCATTTGTCATTTTTATTGAATCTCTTTATTTTTTTTAATGTGTATAGTATTGATAAAGTTTTAGCTTTTAGTTTTGGATCTGTTTTTAGTTGTTTTAATACCACAATTGATTGCTTCTGTTGTCCTCATTTGTAAGTCGCTTTGGATCAAAACGTCTAATAAATGACTAAATAAAAATAAATGACTAAATAAAATGTATGGGCTCATATGTATGCACGATTAAAACACATGCAATCTTATTCCTAAATGACGGTGATTCCGCTATGTCTATTAAACCTTTGAAAACACAATCACATCAGAATATGCTTTCTGCAGAAGATGCAGAGAGAGCAGCGCTCATCATGTAGCCTAAGCTTTATGTTTGAAACAGTCTACAGTACGTATGGGCTCATATGTATGCACGATTAAAACACATGCGATCTTATTCCTAAATGACGGTGATTCCGCTACGTCTATTAAACCTTTGAAAACACAATCACATCAGAATATGCTTTCTGCAGAAGATGCAGAGAGAGCAGCGCTCATCATGTAGCCTAAGCTTTATGTTTGAAACAGTCTACAGTACACAAACAGCCTACTTACACAGTAGGCTACATTTCTGTGTTGCAAACATTAAATTATAATGAAAGTATTGGGAGAAAAGTTTTTAATCCGGATATAGACTCTGATGTTGTGGTAGCCACGATCAAAACGAGTAATTAACCTTTGGAACAAACGATACCTTTCAAAGATTGTATATGTTACATTATGCCAGTAGGTGGCAAACAGTGACTGTTAAATGTATTTATTTGATGTCTGAATTATTCAAGAGATGTTCAAAAACTCTGGACGAAACAAGTCTTCATTTTTCTTCCAAATAATTTTTTAGCTACATAATGAATTCATTTAAATTAATAAATATTTTTAAATAAGACTCATTTATACCATTTTAGACATTTAACTGTGCTATTTAAACAAAGTGTGGCGCAGCAGGACGTGAAAATGATGGTCGCCGTGATTTTGCCAAGTAAGACATGTTCCTGGATCAACATCTTTTGTTGATCCTGGATCAACATTACAGTCCAAAAATACAGACTTAATCCAATCCCTATCCCTAAACCTAACCCTACCCATAATTTATTCCTAAAATCAGAGGGAAATGATAGCTGATTAACAAGGGTGTAGAAGCACCTAATCCTGATTGTAAGCCTAAACCTGGTATTTCCTGAAAAGTTATCTCTCAATTCTGATTGGTTGATTGGAATGATGTTCCAGGATCAACAAGGATGTTGATTCAGGAACATGTTGTACTTGGTGAAATCACGCTCACCTGAAAAGGATAAGTGCGTCGGGCTGAAACTAGCAAAAATATACTAGCATTGTGCCGGGTGTATGATAGGGCCCAAAGTCATCTAATGTCATTACATAAATAACAGTATTGTTATTGTTGTCATTACTGCTGTGAATGGCTCTCACAAACTGAGGGAAAATGAAGTGTGTTGTTCTGGGAAAGTCACACTATACAGATCCAGTTTCTGAAAACACATGAATCTGCAGACAAGTACCATAGATTATGTGAGATCAAAATAAAGAAATAAACAAACACTATGGCCATCATGAAAAAAACACAATGAAAAGAAATCAACAAAGACAACATTTACAAGCACACTTTGCAGTGTTATTTACAGATGGTATTCAGAATATAATTGTATTTTGCTTTTACTGCACTGCCATTTTTTCGCTTGTTTTAGCTATAAACAACTTTTAAAAAACAAATGTATATGAAAAATTATTATATATATATATATACAAAACTATATATATATATATATATATATATATATATATATAATAATTTTTCATATACATTTGTTTTTTAAAAGTTGTTTATAGCTAAAACAAGCGAAAAAATGGCAGTGCAGTAAAAGCAAAATACAATTATATTCTGAATACCATCTGTAAATAACACTGCAAAGTGTGCTTGTAAATGTTGTCTTTGTTGATTTCTTTTCATTGTGTTTTTTTCATGATGGCCATAGTGTTTGTTTATTTCTTTATTTTGATCTCACATAATCTATGGTACTTGTCTGCAGATTCATGTGTTTTCAGAAACTGGATCTGTATAGTGTGACTTTCCCAGAACAACACACTTCATTTTCCCTCAGTTTGTGAGAGCCATTCACAGCAGTAATGACAACAATAACAATACTGTTATTTATGTAATGACATTAGATGACTTTGGGCCCTATCATACACCCGGCACAATGCTAGTATATTTTTGCTAGTTTCAGCCCGACGCACTTATCCTTTTCAGGTGAGCGTGATTTCACCAAGTACAACATGTTCCTGAATCAACATCCTTGTTGATCCTGGAACATCATTCCAATCAACCAATCAGAATTGAGAGATAACTTTTCAGGAAATATCAGGTTTAGGCTTACAATCAGGATTAGGTGCTTCTACACCCTTGTTAATCAGCTATCATTTCCCTCTGATTTTAGGAATAAATTATGGGTAGGGTTAGGTTTAGGGATAGGGATTGGATTAAGTCTGTATTTTTGGACTGTAATGTTGATCCAGGATCAACAAAAGATGTTGATCCAGGAACATGTCTTACTTGGCAAAATCACGGCGACCATCATTTTCACGTCCTGCTGCGCCACACTTTGTTTAAATAGCACAGTTAAATGTCTAAAATGGTATAAATGAGTCTTATTTAAAAATATTTATTAATTTAAATGAATTCATTATGTAGCTAAAAAATTATTTGGAAGAAAAATGAAGACTTGTTTCGTCCAGAGTTTTTGAACATCTCTTGAATAATTCAGACATCAAATAAATACATTTAACAGTCACTGTTTGCCACCTACTGGCATAATGTAACATATACAATCTTTGAAAGGTATCGTTTGTTCCAAAGGTTAATTACTCGTTTTGATCGTGGCTACCACAACATCTATATCCGGATTAAAAACTTTTCTCCCAATACTTTCATTATAATTTAATGTTTGCAACACAGAAATGTAGCCTACTGTGTAAGTAGGCTGTTTGTGTACTGTAGACTGTTTCAAACATAAAGCTTAGGCTACATGATGAGCGCTGCTCTCTCTGCATCTTCTGCAGAAAGCATATTCTGATGTGATTGTGTTTTCAAAGGTTTAATAGACATAGCGGAATCACCGTCATTTAGGAATAAGATTGCATGTGTTTTAATCGTGCATACATATGAGCCCATACATTTTATTTAGTCATTTATTTTTATTTAGTCATTTATTAGACGTTTTGATCCAAAGCGACTTACAAATGAGGACAACAGAAGCAATCAATTGTGGTATTAAAACAACTAAAAACAGATCCAAAACTAAAAGAATAAACTCTTGTCTCTGCAATATTAAATGAGGACTTGGAGTGAGATGTTTCCTCCAGTTAAAGTACTTGCGATATGCATCTTCATCCTTGTCCAGCTGAAGCAGATATTCGGCTAGTGACTTTACATCAGGGAAGTCACTGACATGAATGAAGGACTCGGCAGGAACAAAGTTTTCATAGTTTCTTCTCGGAGGACCCAACACCACAGGGACGGTACCTGCCGCGAGTGGCCCGTTTATCTTCTCAGTGATGTAGTCTTTGTGGATGGAGTTCTCAAAGGCAAGGTAAAATTTGCAACTAGCCATGGTTGGATAGTAGTCGTCGTAACCCAGAAACCTTGCAAAAGCCTTTCCGAACAAAGTCACTTGGATGTATTTGCTGAATTCCCTGTAAAAAATGTTCCTTGTGTCAACACCAGTTGATGGATCCTTGTTACTTACAATCCAACACACCAGTTTGTCCTTTTTGGGAATTACAAAATCCTCATTAGGTTTTTTCCTGGTGATCAAGCGCATCCGTACAGGAATATCAGCATCCTGTCTGTAGCTGAGCGTGAGATTGAAAAGGTTTTCCAGACCTCGGATCCTTTTGGTGTTGGTTGGTGATTCCAAATGCAACCAAATCCACCTTTGGAATGGAGGACGAGGAGATGGAGGAAGGTTGGACAGATCAGTGATGGCTCTATGATAAACAATGACATTATCTGCACTGTTGTAGAGAGCTCTATCATCCGTCAGTTGACAACGATCAATATTGTAAAACTTTTTGCAGTCACTGAAATCAAACCTATAATTTTCAGGCCAAACCCATAACAGAAGTATAGGTTTCTCCTCTGCTTTATCAGTAAGAGAGTTGTTAGTCTTGGCATATTGGACTGGTCTAAAAACTGGAGGTGGACATTTGTTTGAAGGCGAGAACCAGAAAAACACAACACCCAGAGAGATGACACCTGCCAACGTCACTATTACACCCAGACGCAACAGCGATGGGCCATTTGTGTTTGACATTTTTGATCTAAAGAGGTAGAAAAAAAGTTTATTCACTTTAACAAACAAGAATTAAAAGAAATGCTTCAATAAAAACGTGTAAAATGTAAACTTTGACCACTTTATTCTGGTAAAATTATATTCAAATTTCGTTTTTTGAAACAAAGTATTTAATTCACTTCCTCACCTGATTAAAGAAGAAATAAAATCTGCTATTTGGTGTCCCATATAAAGCCGATGTCTGATGATTACTCTAAATAGACAGAAACATGGAAGAGAGTTTCTTTAAAGCATGATTCCCGAGTTTAAAGAAAGAATAAAAAACTGGGTTGTTTTGTGATTTGCCACACCTGGAGGAAGTGGCAATGACTGAGAAGAGACATGACATGGACCAATCACAATTCAGTATGCAAATAGCACTATGACACCAACCCTTCCGCAGTTAGTCCTCTAAACAAACAAACACACCTGAACCAGTTTATGAAGATTCACCATCTGCAAGCAGCAGGTATCCTGGTTAAGGCACTGTATCCTAATAATACATGTATGCTTAAACATGAGTCAAATAGAAGACTATAAGATAATTATTGTATAAATACACACAGAAGCAGCATGTTTAAAAGTCATTTAGAACTTTTGGCCAGGAGGTGGCATTTGCAGTACCCGCATGATGTGAGATGACCAATCATATTCTTCACATGAACGAATTTCAAGGAATAATATAAAACTAAATAGCAATGAAGCAAAGCTACAAGTCTGACCATGTTCCGGTTCTAGTGTGAGGTTCATTTTAGAAATTCCATTCAAACTAAATATACAGACACACGACACTATTTTATTATAAACATGATATAAAATATTTGGGAATAATAATATATATTTTTTAAATAATTATTATTCCTATAAAAAGGGTAGCCTATAATAATCATTATTACACAGTTATAATAAAACATATCAATATAATAGATATTTACCAGAAAAAAAAACATTTTAACTGTTTTTTATTTTTGCTGCCACATACTGTATTATGAAAGAACTAAACGATTAATACAATTATCAAATTATACTGTAGGTCACACAAATATAGCTTTCCCCAAATACTTTTAAACTAAAGAAACAGCAAAATATTTTCCCTACTGTATATTTGTTTTTGAGAATGAAAAAAAAAAATCATGAATCCTATCCCATGAAAACTAACACCTCTAACAATGCTGCAGCTAAGATTGTGAGCCTTTGTTCTTTTTTAATTTATATTACGTTATGTATGCTATTTCATATTTTATTTTACAATATATTATATACATATTTTTTAAATGATCATCTTGTTGAAGCGCAGCAATCGTACGGTCCCAGATCCGAATACTGCCTGGATCATGTCCCGATCCCAGGTTGGATCAGGACAGGGAAAAAGGTTGGACAGATCCTAACTGACAGACTTACAATAAATAAACACATCATCAAAGTGTTGCTATTTCAGTTTCATTTCCATTGAACTTTAATGTAATCATGAATCATGTAACGTAAGTGAATTCTTAGTAGCCTAGTCATTCTAAGTCACGCTAAGCTGAGTGTCATTCTTGAATTTTACAAAAGAAAACATTGTATAATGCTACCTGTTGTTAGTGCAGGTCATTGTTTTATGAGTGACAAAGTGTGTTTGCTTTGTTAGTGTTATTAAGGAAGAATGAGTTGATTTGAGAATGAATTGAAAAATCATGTATAGCCTAATTCAGCAGTTTAAACTGGCCATCTGCTTTGAAACTTTTTTATTGTTTAAAAAAAAAATGTATTGGACTGTTTTATTGGTTTGTTTTATAATGTAATGTTCCTTTCATTGCACAGTGTAAAACAGACTTGGGCTTGCCTTGGTAGGCTATATGGTAATACAGGATATTATGAGAAACAGTGTATTGAATTTTATACTGGTTTAAAGAGGGAAACTTGAGAAGAACAGATCCTATATCAAAATCCTAACAAATTAAACAGCCCTAAATTATGCAGTAGTTCAGCAGTTCTCAACCTTTTGTTGGTTCTCAACCAACATGAAGTAAAAAGCGCATGCGCGATCGTGCATGCAGCCTGTTGCCTCTGCTCCTGTGTTGTTGTTGTTTTCTGTTCTATTAACTTTATTAGTGCTGCCTTTTCTTATTGTATTTTTTTGTGAGCTCTTTGAAGTTGTGCCCTTTCAAGGATGCAGGTGGAGAAAGATTTAACAACCTTTTTACCGTACCGGAGTTCAACACCTGTTGGATACCCTGCTCGGATTGTTTACTCCCAGCATCAGCTGATTGATCTAAAACCGGCCAGTTTAGCGATTCAGCCAGCTGATTTAGCTACCTACTGAAATCTGGAGGAAAACTCATAGCGGATGTAGGGGAGGAACAAGACAACGGGGGAAGAGAGCTGGGCTGAGACAGTAGAGACTTAAACGTGCAATAGGTGATTGTCTTAAGAAACATTATTTTGTTATGCTGGTTAGAAATCTCTTCACATCCAGGGCCGGATTAACAATAGGGCTAGGTGGGGCTTAAACCCCAGGTCCCGAGCAAGGAGGGGACCCGTGATTGGCTGCAGAGTAGATTGACTGGAGCGCCAATCGCCAAAGCCCCACCATTTATTAGCTAACTATTATTTAGTGGAGCTTTGCCGTAAATTCCATGTAGTACCAGGCCCGGATTGGCTAATCGGGAGCACTGGGAGGATTCCCGGAAACATTTAATTTACCTGAGGGAAGACGTCTTTCATTGTAAGTTATGCTGTTAAATAGAGAGGGGAAAATATGCATTACAAAAAAATAAATAAAAAAATACTTCTTGCGTAGGCTATTCTTAAACATGGACCTCATTACTGAAGTAAAAATCCAAACACCAGAAGCGGCCCACACTCTCTTAAGTTTTCTTTAATTGAAAAATATGCATTTTCATTCATTTAAAGGCTATAGTTGCAATAATATTTTAGATCAAAACTTTAAGTGCCATTGTCTAAAAAAATGCTTGATTGACTGACGTTTCATAGACCTTCAGTTGTTACATTTTCAAATTTCATGCCATTTGTAATTTCACAGTATTTTCACCTGCTCAATTACACGTGTGAAGTCACAATTCTATAATGGTACAATTTACTCAGGCCGATGACATTTTTTGTATGACATTTAAAATTCTTTTTAGAATAGTTGTACATAAATAGGTTAAGCAAGTGATTATTTCTGAGAACTTTTTAACTGCAGGCAGACTTAGGCCTACATTATGGTACAGTACAAATATTTGGAACGTCCCTTATTCTGTCCCTTATTTTCTTAAAGAATAAACACTATTTTCTTAAAGAATAAGATAAAGAATCACAATTGTCCCTTATTTTCCATTTCTTATGTTAATTGGAAATGATGACGTAATTATCTTTTGACTCCCCTGACAGCGGAACCTTTCTCAAAAAATAAAGTCTGTTGGAGATATGCGAGCAAAAAAAATGATAGATAAAAAAAGTGCATAATAGAAAGCGCAAAGGCGGCACTGAAAAGGCCAGTTAAAAAAAACAAAAAAAAAACAAAGTGGGCTGCCCTTACCAAAAAGTAGTATACTTCAAGTTTATTTTAGTA